TCGGGTTTCAAGGTCCAGGCAGGAACATTCATCTTGGCCCAGTCTACATCGAGGTACCGGCGGGAAGGTCACTTACAGCAGAGACATCATCGCACCCTCCCTCTCTCAAGTCACTCTTTCCCAGTCTTGCGGTCCAGCCGGTCGCTCTTGCCTTGCTTCCACAAGCTTCGTTAGTTTGCTCATGGTTTCCAAGGTTCTTGGTTCTTGGTGCTGGGCTGAAGATTTCCCGCCCTGTTCTTCCTCTTGTCGAGGCCCATTTGGTCTCCATCCCCACCACTCTCGTCATCCCACGTTGAAGGCGACTTACACATCATACCAACTACGCAGTACTTCGATTGAGTACACTACACGGAAAAGTCAGGGCAAGGCAAGGTACGAACCCTGATGGACTGGCCTCGCTGCAGCGGACAGTCATGCTGCATCCTTCCCCTCGCCTTTCCTGCTTGATTGTGGGATTTTCTGGCTGCATTTGGTGATACCGTGGTCAACAGATCACCCCTCCTCCTTGTCTTTTTCCTGCGCATGCGCATGATCACACTTTATTCCTCTTCAGGACAGTGGGGCACGCCGTTTGGAATGCCGTCCTCACCCGGCCGTTTTGCAACTTTCTTGGCTCCGTGACACCGCCGTCCGCCGTGTCGTATGTCGACCGACCGCCATCACCAAAGACAGAGATTGATGGCTATGCAACCCTCTCAACTTGCTGCTGTGCTTGGTTCTGGTTGCCCATCGCCACGAACGTCTGAATCAGCCATCCAGCAACCTCCGTCTGGGGAAGCCTCCGTCGCCGGTTGATTGGCCGCCTATGCCGTCGTCTAATGTCTCAGACAGACGGCCTTGGGGTAGCTCGAGGCCGCCCTGCGGAGTGAAACATTGCTACACTACGGCAAGCCCACGACACCCTTTGGCTTGCTCGGCTCGGCTGAGCTGCTCCGTTAGCCTGCACTCTGAGCAGCCAGCACATGGACCTGCTGCCCCGTTACCGGCCGGGAAACCGAAGAAAGGCCCCAGCCGGTCTCTGGTTGACACCGGCACTTTCGAAGCCAGCTTCATGCAACGAAAGGCGAGCTTGCCTCCGACGATTCCGGTGCGCTAGGATAAGAGCTCGTTGTCGGCTTGATCAAACGCAGTTTCGACGGTTTGAACTTGATCACCCACGACCTCAGAGCTTCCCCAACTTTGGCCGCGTTGACCCGGCTTACGGCCTCTACCGGCAGACCCGTCGAGCAGAAGAACATCGGCAACAATACCAACTCAGCACGCATTCTTTCGCCACGATTGCGCAGTTCGTCGGAGCTTATTCGGACAACCCACACCGAAGATCCGGTCGATCTTAGTGAACACAACCAACCACCGCCGTGAGCTGTTCAACCCCATCACTGGACACCTATCGTCAGCTGGTACTCACTAGCCCGCCATGCCCGCGATGTCGCAAGTGAAACAACCAGTTGCTCGTTTGACGCAGGTGGGGGGCCGGTCGAGACACATGGAGAAAGGCAGGCATTCCGCTGCAGAGGGAGTGAGGCCGCCACAATTGGTCCAATAAGTCCGGATTATCATGCTGGCAAAACCGCTGCCAAGGCATCCCGGGTCTGCCAAAGTGCCAGCGTGCCAGTGCCTGTCCCCGAACCCATCCCCTTCCTCCAAGCTCCAAGCTGAGTAGCTTGCTGGGCAACGTTCATGTGCTTTTCTCAAGGCTGAGGGGCTGTCCCGAACAAAGAGAATCTCCAACGTCCGTTGCCCGCTAAACCCAAGCGGTGATGCTAATACTTCGGATTCTGAGTCTTTCGGGCACCGAAAAACCGTCGTTCTGATGACACAGCGGTGGACAAAGTCTCAACCTCTTCTCCAACGCCTGATGCTAATGCCGTATTCCTTGTCAAAGCCAGTGGCTCGCTGCGCCGGCTCCTGCTGCCGCAACCCTCTTCGGGGCTGATTTTCGCAGCCGACATCTGCTCGCTCGCACGAAGTTGCGGTGACGGCCTCCGATACTGGTCCGCCCAGGGTTCGACACCACAATTGCGGTATTGATCCTCATGTCTTGCACACCATGGCTGGCAAAGCCCGGCACACATCAAAACCTTCATGCAAGCCCCGCCGTTTGGCATGCACATGATGCAGCCTTCCCTCTCGGCTTCTTCCCCCTTCGCAGAGTTCTAGATCCGCGTCTCATTGCATCCATCGCACCATGGCGAGTCAAGTGCCCGCCATCGACTGCACCGGACAGTGCGCATGAGTCCCATGGAGCGCATGTCGCATTGTATGCCCGCGACGTCAGCGGTCTTGCCATTTCCTGGGCCTAATTACTTCGTTCGTCGCCGCCAGTGCCGCTCAACACCCCCAAAAGCTCATCCAACCGTACCATCCGGCCTAGTGGTCAATTTGGCGTCATCTGTGAGATGCTATTTTGTCGTCTTTCGACCCGGTGCTTCCAATAGGGGTTGCAGCTCTTATCACCCTCATTGGGGAGGTCGTCAAGCCACCGTCAGACGGCACGTTCCTCTGGCTTTGCGGCTTTCGACTCTGTCGTCCTAGGATCTGGCTGTCTTGGATTACAGGCTCTAACCTCGGCCCAGGATCCGCGATCTTGAACAATGAAATCCGGGCCACTTTTAAAGTTACTTTCAATCTGCTGCTTTGATTGTGTCCCGACAAGCCTGAGCGTATTTTGGATAGTTCTTGGCAAGCTGAGAGGGCCATCGTTCTAAACTACGTTTCTCTGGATCAACTGCCTTTGGCTGCCCGCTGACTGTACATTTGTATGACTGGCTGCCATAGATTGTGGTTTGAAGAAAGTTGGCTCCTTCAGTTCCATCCGAGCTTTTGACATTGCCGTCCTAAACCCAATCTTCGTTGCCCTGGGGGCGTGAGATTCTCCTGAATGAGCCTCATCGAGCTTACCAACGTCTGCTACTGGAACCATGGGCTAGAGTAGGTCGTGTGGATTGCCATCGTTCTTCGTCATCTGTGATATTACTATGCTAGCATTATATTGCCATTGTCGACGTCTGAAATATCCCTCGAGATGCCAACAAATCGTGAGGTGGAAGGCGTTGATGTGAACACCAGCTGTCTTGGGAACGTCATAGAATCATCTGTCCCTCGGGAGCTTTCCACCTCTTTGGAGCTTGCGCATCGTTCTTTCTCGTATCTCAGCTCATACTAGTAGACTTCTCATCATTCAAGGCGAGATGTTGTTCCCTAATGATTGCGCTTTTCCTGCCCAGGTCGGGCAAGAAGGCTCCATGATATATCTGCCTTGATTACGTGCCTTCGTAAATGTGATCCATGGCAGTGAGGCAGGATTCTACTCAAGCAGGAGAGTACACCTTGACTGTCGCTCTCCTCTTGATTGAGACTGTAGACGATCTCCCCGTCGCCTTCAATAATCTGGCTAGGGGTGCAGGAGGTCTTCACGAAGACGGCAATAGCTCCCCCGGACCGCTCTCCATTGAAGGTCAACACATCGATACTTTACTCTCCAATGAATATGCTCCCGAGGCCTCGAGTACACAGGTCTTTGTCTCGTAGTTTTCGTTCTTTCAGTCAAAGAAGACCTCGTCGTGGCCACTCCATGCCTATTGTCTGTCACAAAGACCGATGTCTACGCCTCAATTCCATTGTGGAAGTGGCCCTTATGGACCATCCGTGGCCTCATGTATCACTCCAGTCCTTGCCCTCGCCCGCAAGGCCAAAGGTGTCCCGACAGGTGTCCGTCTACCTCTACTAGTATTTCCGCAAGTTAGGAAATCAGAAGGATGTCATCGTGAAGACAACCTCAAGACCACCCCATCACCATAAGGACCTCCCTTCCGGGACCTCCTTCCCCCTCATCGCTGCCCTGATGGCACAGCTCTGGCAAACCTAAGGCTGCCAGTCAACCGGCGCAACCAACCTCTCCTGCCTGCATCCTCATTCCATCTTTGACAGACTCGTCAGGAGTGATATAAACAGACCGTCCAACGATATTCACTCCTCGACTGATCTCATTTGACCGTCATCTGTGTTCACCTCCTCCCTCTGCAAATAAACCCATCAAGGCAAGAGACCTCCAACCGATTGTTTCCGCGTTGCGAACTCGTACGTTAACGCTTGCTCTCTCGTCAGTCGTCCCAGGTATAAAGAGCCCTCCTCTCCTCTCCCAGGATCTACCCACCGTCAAAGTCGACTCAGACACCTTTCCGTCTCGACAAACAACGACGAGATCGACACAAGAAGAAGCTTCAACTTATTCCCAATCATCATTGATCACACTTGCTCAGCCTTCCCAAGATCGTGAAGGCTTCGCGGCACCACCTTCCTCTACAGGATATCGTCCCAACTTCTTCTGCGTCGCCCCGAGTAACCGCATAGATACGCAGTATCCTTACAACATCAACATTCATCCCGACTACAGGTAGGTTGTTTTCCTTTCAGAGACTTCTCGAGAGCACCGAATGGCATTCCTGACGTGCGGCGATCTGGTCCTTCCTTCCTTCCCACAACCACCTGGCCACCGGCCGCCTACAAAACCATCTCCTCTTTTCACCTCCTGTCTCGCTTTCTCCCTTCTTCTTCATCACCACCAACCTTCCCCCCCCCCCAACACATCTTGCCTTACTCAACTTCTTCTCCTACAACCAGAACCCACCGACAACCTTTTTGGTTTGCAGATATTATTCCCCTCTACCTTCCGCGACTCACATTGCTTTGCTTCGCGCCTCCTTCTTCCTTCCCATTTGCTACGTGAGCTATCTCTCCAGAAGCCTCACTGCTCCTTCCCGTGGCAACCTCTCAAGTCCATCCACAGGACACACGATCTTATCCCCGACTTTGGCTTCTGGATCAGCGCAAGAAACCCGTACGCCTTTCCATTCGGCCCCGGGTCTGCTAACACGCTTTCTCTTCGCCACCTTCCTACTCCAACTCATCAACTTACCAAAAGCCGACTTCAAGCCCGCTAATCTTTTACTCAACGGCAGCCTTATCATCATTCTCGTCGGCGGCGAAACAACCTCAAAATGAGCCACCTGGCTGAAATATTGGCCACGAGGGAGACTCCCCTTCAATATGGTTCAATGAAGTTGACCATCCCTCAGGGCCCCTGCCACCCTGTGGTAGGCGGCACCTACGACGAGCAGTACAAGAAGCAGCTCGAAAAGGCCACCAATCTCATAGCTGGTTGCCAATCCCTCCCGGAGCTACCGAGAGTTGGGAACCTGTCTCTGGAAGATTGGGATGCTCTGCGATCGAGACCGACTCCAGGTGCCAAGTCACAGGTCGTGTCGCACGGCCCTCAGGACACGGAACGGACGACCGACTATGAGAAAACCTTGGTGTATATCTTGAAAAAGATCTACGATGGTGCGATTGTGTTGATCTCGAGTTTGTGGTCCCATGACGCGAAGAACATCAGACGTCTGGCTGGCACTTCCAAGGCTCTCAGGGAAGCCGTCAGCGTACATGTGGTAAGTTTTACTTCTCTTCGGTCTTCATATCGTCCAATACTAATGTTACAGTCTCGCTTTCACCTGCCAAGCAGGGATTTCAACCTCTGCGACTTTACCGAGTACACTCTGATCCCCATGACACGCAAGCCGAAGGACGACATCGGGCTTCACAAGCACCTTATCGTGATTGGCAAAGATCTCCTGGCGCCGACAGCCCCGATTACGGGTATTCCCAAACTCTGGGAGTCTGACGAGATGCGTGATGGCATGTGGGCAAAAGCCGAAAGTGAGAAGGGCACCTTTGAAATGACTATCAAGCTTTGGCCCTACTACGCCGCCGAGGGTCTGCTCTCTGTAATGGAGCGTCGCTTGAGTGAGAAGCAGCAAAGACTTGGTCAGGTGGCCGTTCAAACACCTACGCACCACCATCTACGGGAGGCTACTTGCGCTATCCCTTTGCGTGAGTCTTTTCCACATTGCGCCTGAATACTTAGCTAACAATATGGCAGTTCGTTCTTTGCACACGTACGGTGCGAACATTAGCTGTCTCCGCCTCCATGAGGTCCCTGGACTGGACCTCCGGGTCACCAAGTTGATCCTTTCAGCTTGCAAGAGTCTCATCAATCTGGACATAATCGAATGCGAGCTTCTGCACTTTGGAAGCATTGTGCCGCTGTTGGACATCGTACATGTCAATTCGAAGGAGGCGGGAAAGAGTCCCGTCCAACTCCAATTCCGCCCTAAGACGTGGCTTGGAACCGACACCAACCGCCAGGGCACGATGGTGATTTCTTTCGACGACATTGAGTACAGGAACATTCCAACGGCAATCATGACCACTGTCTTCATGGCCGTCGTCAAGGCTGTCCCTATGGGCATCGATTTGGTGTCGGAGCATCGCGATTTCCGCAAGTTCCTTGACATAATCCCGATGCAACCAGGAGCTATGGCACTATTCCTCCACCACCTAATGGTCTACATCGATTTGACCCAAGGCCCGATCACTTGGGCATCACTCGACAAGGTCACTCGTAACGATGTGGAGGATCAGGTTCTCCTGTCCATTTGCATGAAAAAGCTGGCCTACCACAAGCGGGATGCTTACTTTCAGGGGATAGATGAATGTGACACCTGCGGGTATAAGCTTGTCACGGCCTTCTTCAGAGGAGAGATGAGCACACGTGCCCCCGATCAGCGCACTTGTCGCATCTGTGAGCTTCACCAGAGGCTGGACGCGCAATCTCACCATCGCCTTCTCGAGAAGCGTGAGATGGTCAAAGATCTGCTCTTCAACAGGGACGAGGATGTGACCAAGCAGAACAACATTGCCACCATGCAGATCCCCGTCAACGATCTGGAGAAAGTCTTCGCGCCGACACTGCCGAACCCGTTCGTGGCGGACCCCGCCGCCAACGGGGACCACCGTGAGCTTGCCTTTCTGTGGCACTACAAGCTCCCGACTGTGGAGGCTCTTGTGTCACCGGACCGAGAGTACGACATCCTCCGCGCCTCAGGAAGCGCCGCCGCACTAGATGTTGTAGACGAAATTGCAGCATTGGATGGTGTTTACCCTAACCATCCAACCCTAACTCGACAACGCCGGGCCAATGCAAGGGGAATGAAGCAGTCCTGGGAGCACCATGTTTGGCACGAGATCGGCAAGGGAGAGACGGAAGACCAGAAGCCAGCCGGATTCTGGTAATCTTTCCACATTGCTCATCCGAGTTACGAACAAACCTCTATTCGGCAAAACCCTACATCGATTCTCTAAAATCCGAAATACCCCCTCCTCCTCATCATCCGCAACATGATTGAGAGTATATAATACAGGATATGGGTAAGGATTGGATTGTACAATGGCGCTTGGATGCTTGCCAGCATCATTATTAGAAGGAGCAATAAGGTAACAAGGGCGCACGAGCATGATCAAAGAAATCATGCTTTCAAAGAAGCAGGCAGGGCATTGCAGGAGCACTGGATCGAGAGCCAACAGAGCTCTTATTGAACCTAAAGATGCCACAATATGGGCATAACGGTTTGCTTTTCATGGACGGATGGATAACGGGAAGGACCGCGAGGTGTTCACCTCCCACCTTTCTTTGCGGTTTATTTCCTTGGTTCTTTTATTTCTTTCGACTCGACATCAGGATGGATTTGGCATTGGGAGCTAATAATGAGCTTGAGCGGCGACTCGCTCATGTACATAGAAAAGGCACGATATTTTCGCAATGGACTCTTCGCACATGACCCCATGGACTCAACTTGTATGGTGATGTCGATATTGACTCTTGAATAGTGGTATTGAATCCTCCGGCCTCTTGATGCCGGGGGTAGTCTACAGGTTTGACATCTATCTCGTGATGTTGTACAAAAGTGATACACGCTGCAATGCTCAAAACACTCCTCTCCTCGCTTCATCTCGTCTTCCGCTGCTCATGAAGATCCCGATCGGTTCTGCTCCCCAGACGTCAATCCCACGACATTCCTCAACGTACCAAAGCTCAGACAGTCGCTGATCCTGTTCGCGCCAGAAAACAGCATCACAAGCCTCTCAACACCACATCCCCAGCCGCCCGTAGGTGGCAACCCGGCCTCAAGCGCCTTGATGTAATTTTGGTCAAGCGGCGCGTCCCTCGCAGCCTCCTGCTCCTCCTCCTCCACACTCTTGCCGGTCCCGAGCACGCGGTGCTCCGCAAGCTTGCGCGCCTGCGCCTCCGGGTCGTTCTCCTCCTCGTACATGTTGGCCAGCTCGCGGCCGTTGACGAACAGCTCCGTCCGCGCGGAGACGAGCTGCAGCGTCTTAGGGCAGAGGAAGCTCTTGGCGAGCGGGCTCATGCACACCGGGTGGTGCGTGATGAACAGCGGGCCGCCCTCGAAGGATTTTGGCTCGAGGTAGATCGCCGCCAGCCGGTCGAGCAGCTTGGCCATCGTCGGGGGCACGCCGCCGGGGATCTCAATCTTGGCGAGCGTCAGCACGGCGAGGAGCTCCGCGTACGCGTCGCGGCCGGTCAGCTTCGGCAGGCGGATGCCGAGCGCGGCCTCGAGCGCGGGGATGAACTCGAGCCGGCGGTAGGGCCGCTTGAACTTGGTCAGGTCGATGGGCTGCAGGGACGTGAGCTGCGTGTCGATGAGCTCCTGACAGTGGTGCGCGAGGCCGGTGAGCAGCTCCTCGGTGCGCACGATGAGCTCCTGGAGGTTGGTGTAGGCGCTGTAGAACTCGCACATTGTGAACTCGGGGTTGTGGGTGGCGTCGATGCCCTCGTTGCGGAAGGCGGGGCCGATCTCGAAGAGGTTGTGGACGCCGCCGACGACGAGCCGCTTGAGCCAGAGCTCGGGGGCGATGCGCAGGGACAGCTCGCGGGAGGGGAACTCGGTGGCGGTGGTGGTGAAGGAGCGGGCGACGGCGCCGCCGGCGTTCTCGGCGAGGATGGGCGTCTGGAACTCGAGGAAGGCGCGCTCGTGGAAGTAGTCGCGCATGTACTTTGTGATGTGCGAGCGCATGCGCAGGACGTCGGCGACCTCGGGGTTGACGATCATGTCGACGTGGCGCTTCTGGGCGCGCGTCTCCGGGTCGGTGAGGGACTGCGGGATCTGCTCCATGGTGGGCGCGAGGAGCTGCGGCAGGACGACGGCGTTGAGGGTGAGCGCGCCCGTCTTTGTGCGGCAGGGCTTGCCGGTGAGGGAGATGTGGTCGCCCTTCTCGATCATGCGGGTCAAGAGGCCGAATTTGTCCAGGGTTATCTTGTCATTCAGGTTACCGAAGTTGATCATGCCCTGGATCTTTTCAAACTCATTGACGATGGTGACGAAGAGGAGCCTCTTCCCCTGGGTCCGGATGGAGTGGACGCGGCCTGTGGCCTTGGGTCAGCAAGGGAAAATTGGATATCGCTGTGGCAGTGTAGCCCGCCTGGTGACATTGATTTTGCGTACCATACAGGGTGACGATCTCCTCGCTCGGCTTCTCCAGCTTCTCTTTAATCCACCTCTTCTTGAATACCGGTACTGACACCTTCTTGGTCATGTGCTTCAATCGCGGGTACCGGTCCTTAACGAGAGCCTCGGACCAGTCCCCGGTGACCTCCTCCAGCGCCTTAATGCGCATCTTCTTGAATTCTGACATAGACTCCCCCTTGGGCATAAAGCCCTTCTCTCCCTCGGCCTCTACGCCATCCTGCGTCCTCCCCGCAGCTCCGTTCTGGAGTCTGCTCGTGCCACTTGGCCGCCCTACATGCAAGGACCGAAACGGTATCGCGACCTGCGGGGTTCGTACGATGGGCCGTACCAGCAGTAATCTCTGAATTGAGGTCATCGTGCCTGGTGTCTCCTGTTAGTGACGTCTCTTGCCAAACTTGCGCGAGCTGTAGGTAGAAGAACAAGGAGGTTGTGAGTGTCAGATATTTGGCGGTTATACATCACGCGCAGCAAGCTGCGTAAGCCGCAGCGGTTCTAATGCTTGCAATCATCATAGAGGAGAAATGGGAGAATAAGAAAGTGTTTCGTGACCACTTACCAGCATACTTGGGTGGCTCAAGAAGACGCTTGTTCTTCTTGAGTTACCGACGGAAACGACGACTTGAGAGATGGCAAAATTTGTGACGGCGCGATTTTGTTCAACGCATCCTTGACGTTATCGATAAGAAAAAAGTTGGCCGGCCTGCAAGACGGCCCGAGGGGTCCCCTCTAGTACCCACTTTAAACCACACCTCAAGCTTCAGTTCGATGCTATTGTCGTCCTTGTCGTCGTGAGTCCTCTGTGTTACGACCACTTAGTCAGACAGACTCAAGAAGCCGTGAAGGCCCCGAAGGCAAGGCCCCGAAGGCTACAGTACGATGGGTAGGGTCAGAGGAGAGCTGGAGAGACACATGAGGGGATGCGGCTTTGGGTGTTGGTTACTCAGCAAAATTCCCTGTTCGTGATTGGTCGTAAAGCTTTGAGAGGTCCGTGCACACCGTCAAACCTGCTTGCACCTGTCCAGTCGCGATGCGATAAGATAAGGAAGGCTAAAGCAGAGGAGCTTCGTAAAATCTCGACCTCAGCGACGTCAAGCAGCCCGCCGCAGCAAACAAGCTACGAATAATCAACAACCACACCCGACGACGTCACCATTTCCCCGAGATCTATCCATCCCAAAACCTTCGAACACAACCGCCAAGATGTCTTTCTTTGGAATGGGTCGCCCTAAGCTCTCTTCGGAGGAGAAGATTGCCATGGCTGAGCAGGAGATGCGTCTGCTTGCTGACATGCACAACCGGTACGTTGAACATTGGAGCTCCCAATCCCATATGCTATATGCTTGATGTAGCTCTGTATTCTTGGATTGCAACATGGGCTGACTTTGCTCCGCGCCAGCCTTACCAAGATCTGCCAGTCCAAGTGCCTGCCCGACTACCGCGAGGCCGACCTCAACAAGGGCGAGTCCGTCTGCCTCGACCGCTGCGCTGCCAAGTTCTTCGAGGCGCATATGAAGGCATCGGAGGTGATGCAGGCCGAGAGTCAGAAGAGAGGCGGCGGTATGGGCGGCGGCATGTTCTAAATCTCTTGACGAACCGAGATGATGAACGATGGGAGTAAAAATAAGAGCGGGATGGATGGGACCGTTTGGAAGGCCGTTACGACGACGCTCCGTCCGGCAAATCTGCCGTGAATACAGGCTGTACGGATTGAAGGTCCCGGGTGAACGGATTCGCATTCGCATTGCGAGCCTGGCTTTGCATGGTCTGGATGGTCACCAGGGAATTGGGTGTATTTTGAAGCACCGAGACGGGCTTCGTGTATAATATGGGATGTGATGAATGTCCTTGGAGTATCAATGAACCACCCTCACACTTTCACCTTATCTTTTGCTCTGAGTGACATCCTTTGCGCCCTTCGTTTGGATATGACTGGCATACATAGCCATTGGGTTGGTCAACATCGGTGACAGTTCTGACAGCTTTGGTCTTAAGTACAAGCGAACGATGTTAACGGCAAGAGACCAAGGGGCATAACTCGCCCTGTCAAAGTCGGAACCGGTCCGGGGATCAATGTTGGCTATTGACTTTCGGAAGAGACATAATAATTTTCTACATCTTCTCATGCAGAGCCCGATCATCTCATCCGAGAAATCTCGTATCACGTTATCCTCACCTCTTCGACGATGAAGGCGGGCAGAGTGACTTTCCACAAACCGATGAATGCTGTAAACTATTCCTCATTGTGTAGAGATCCGGCAAGCCCGGAGTCGGCATGTCGAATGCGGCTCTTGGCCGTCTCCAGTGTGGGTTTCTTCTTACCCATCTACACCCATCAGCAATCAAGTCGGCACCACTGGCCGTTTCAGACGCTCTTCGTGGAGAAACGCCCGCACGTGCTCTCACCGATCCCGCGGAAGGAAGAACGATCGAATTTCCCCGGGCAAAGTAGAGGAGAAGGTCCACGTGAGTTTAAGGCTTGCCAGCTGCTCGGATTCATCTCGCATCTCGAGACCGTTCTGCTGGTCGGAGAAAACCCACACAACACACAGCAAGTTTGTGAAATGATATCACGGCGACGTTGCACAGCCCAGGAGGCAGCCAGGCATGAATCAGCCCGCCATCTGAGTTTCCCACGGCAGAGCAATCAAGAAATTACGGACAAACCCAGAAAATCGGGTGCCGGACTCCGGTTGATAGACTTTTTTGGCTTTTTACTGGCTTTGAATTAAATAAGGTGCCGCGAGAACCCAGATTTGGGCCACGATGTCGCGAACCTTTTGGTTTTTTAGATTGCTCATCCGAAGTCATCAAAGTGAGTTTGTCGATTTTTCAAACAATACATAAAAAGGGGCGCGAATGAATTTGACATGCGCGCAAGAGCCAGTCTCCGGCTTTTGCCAGCAATGCAAGCACATCCACCAATACGTGCTCGCGTATCCGTACATGGACTGGGAGGGATAGAGGGAAGGGGGGAAGCAGTGAAAAAAAGCCAAGTCATGAGTTTGTTACATGACTCTGCTTCTTCCCCCGTCACAAATGTTGCGAACTGAACAGCGATCCAATGTCGACCGTCTTTTCATGTTACCCCAGACAACCAGGGGTAAGCAGAGCAAGAAGAAGTAAACGGCTGTCCACGGTCTCCCAAAATGAAGGCACGTCTGCTGTAATGTATTCGACGGGCAAAAACACTGGGCCCCCCGATTGTCCAGGATGTGTATACGGAGTATTCGTACACGGCAGACGAGGGGATAAAAATATTGTTCCGCAGGATTGTGGTTCGTTCGGGGAGGAATTAAGGATTCCCTCGAGGCGAGATTATGGAAACCTCATTCGGTGCCGAACTGCCCAACAAAAGTCGGTCAGGTCCAGAACGTCCCTTTTTTTCGGGCCCAAGATTACCTGTTGATTTTGCCTTGGTTGTTTTCCCATTCTTTGCCGATCCGCTCCGCGCTCCCCGCTTCGCCGGATATGCGTTGACATTTAAAAAAGGTACGTGGGTGAGACCACGGACGGTAATGACGAACGGCGGAAAGGGAAGAAAAAGAACCACCTGAAGCCCACAGCCAACAGCCCCCGCAGAGCATGTGGTGGCCGGTTCATCTACCCGGCCTTTCTTGCTTGTCGCGCATCTGGCCACGGATATGCGCGCGTGTAAATCTGGTTTGTCGTCGGGCTGGGCATGAAAGGGAAAGATTACCTAGCAAAAATGATGCAAATCCCAACTCTGTCGAGCACTTCAACCCGAGAGCTTGGGGCCTCGCTCGTTTAGATCTGCGACAGGGGGCGGGCTGGCTGGCGGCGGCGGCGGCGGCGGCAGCGGCACCAAGGGACGGGCGGGCATTGACGGGGTCTGCAGGATCGTGCGAGGAGGCTGTCCCTGGACGAGAGATGGGCCAACTTTTTTCTTCTGATTTTGGGGTTAGGTGGGTGTGTTGAGTGACAGAATGTGTGTGGTTGATGCGTTTCAATACTTCGGATGATGAGGATGACATTGGGTTACGGCGGCTAAGCCTGCGAGCATTGATTGAGCTTGTTTTCCTGGCATGAGAGAGAGGCATATGCAAGACAACGACATGTGAGGGAAGACCAATGGGAGATTTGCGACGGTTGGTTACCCTTCTTTTCCATTCCTGGCCGTGGCCGATTTCTCTCTCTCCCGCAAAGAATGTCACTGGCATGCGGCAAGGTCTGATGTTGGTGGTGGTGTTTGGCAAAATGTCTTTGGTGGATGGTGGTTCAATTGACTGAGCCTCAAACCGTGGTGCCGCGGTGGAGTTCTACGGCGTGGCTTAGCGGCCCTCCCTTGCAAGTTGCATCTGTCGTCACTGCACAGGGTCGATCGCCATCAACCGCGCTTTCACCATCGCCCATTTCTCGGAGCGGCGCATACACACGCTCACACGGACGGGTTCCCTGTGGGGGTGGTGGGTTGGGTTGGGTTGGTGGTGTGGGATCGGAGCCCGTGGGACACGCAGAGAGACGCGGCACGGCATTGACGAAGTGGGAGGGGGGGATGGAGATGGATGCAGGGAGTGCAACGGTGCCATGGCCGACGGGTCGTGGAGATGACATGACGGACGGCGAAGAAGGTAGGGTCGGGTTGGGTCTTGAAGTTGACGTAGGTTGTATGCCGTTGAGTGGCATTGCAAAGACACGCATCTCCCTCACTCAGACAAAACAGCCGATGGAAAGGTAGAGCACAGCAGAGGAGGCCTCGTCTGAAGCATCGAAACAGTCTAGGAAAGAAAAGCCACCAAACCTCACCAGAGCTTCCCGGCGAAGAAAACCGAATGGGAACGGGAGAGAGCGTATCCAGAGACGCGTATTCTCTGCCTTCGCTTACGGGGTCTTAGGAGAGGACATATTGCTTCTTCTGGTCCCCGTTGGAAGAACCGAACCCATGGCGGAGCATGCCGTGGAGACTGCGGGTTGATAAGGATACGGACGCTAAAAGTGTCTGTCTTTGCCGTGCTGTGGACGCAGGAAACGGGGAAGACTACGGTTGTTTTGGTCTGAAGTTGTGCGGTAAGAAGCCAAGACCAAAACAAAACAAGTCAAAAAAAAAACTGAAAGAACGATTTGGAAATTGTGTGATTCAGCATCAGTCGTCTCTGCTTTACTGCATGTGACGGAATATCTTTATACATGGGGATCGTCAGAACAAGTCAGCCTCTATTTCAGCCCCCTCTACGCAGTTCTGGGTCGCACAATGGAATGTGAGTACATGTGTCTGACGGTTCGTTGACGGGCCTATCAGCTCGGGAGCCACGGCGTCGTCCGGCTGGGCACGTCGTGCCGGAACCGCGACGAGGTTGGGCAGTCTCATGGGCGTAATGTTTAGGTCGTGCATTACCGTGAGGTTAAGTGGTACGGTAGGGCAGTCTGTCAGGGTCTTTGATGCACCTCAAGTCAAGGACGAAGAAGAAGCCTGTGGCTGTACAAGCCTCATGTTGCAGTTGTCGCTTGCATCTTCTCCAGAGTCGCCTGTGAGCTGTGAGGGAGGGAGGGTTGGCTGGGTTGCTATTACTAGAAGGGTGTTTGCTTGCTTGCTTTTGCCTGGCTGCACAACAAGTTTGAAGACCACCACGGCAAGAATCTAGCGACATTCTACAGCAGGTAATTAGCGAAGAGAAGGTTCGGTCCCATAATTGGCTTCTAGCGGCGCGGGCTGGGTGCTGTCAACACAAGTCGTGCATGTTAGCAGGGGAATGGGTCGTGTGCGTGTCTCTACTGTCGCTGCAGGCTGACTTGCATGAGCCGTCTACAGCAACCAGGCAACACTCTGGAGGCAGCCATTCGGCAGCCGATGGGAGTGAGATTGCAGTCGTGCACTAGCAAATTGTACTTTCGTACTTGCACGAATGCAGACGTCGGTCCTTTGGTCAGATGGAGTCGAGGACTCTATTCCTGGCGCAGTCCCGTCTGCACGCTGCAACCTTGGACCCGGGTTCGCTGCACAGCCCTACTGTCCCTGGAAGAAGAACCAGCCAGCCTCTCTTGGGTCTGCCAGTCACCCAATCTGCCTCCAGGACTGGCGCGAGGAGCACCCACCCTCCAAGGAAGAGGTGGTATTGGATCGGGGGGAAAGCCTGAAAGTCTGGAGACTGGAGCAGCCGTGGCCGTCCATGGCCGTGGTAGTGCACTGGCGTTTTGGCTGTGCTGTGCTGTGCGTTGCCGGCACTACTTCACACTTGAGAGAGTCCTTGCTCAGGTACGGAGTAAAGTACGTACAATTGTCGATGGAGTGTCTTGTAATTAATTATTGCCTATGATGACGGTGACGGTGAACAGGGAGCTAGGATTGCTGTGCTGTGCTTTTTTTGAGGCCTCTCCGTCTCCTTTATCCATTTCATGATAAACCGGGCATATGCTGTCTTGGATGCGGTTATGGTTTTACTTTTCGCCCCCCCTCTTCTTCAACATCAATCAACAGCCTACACACAGCTGATCTGATCTGCAACACACGACTGTCGACCGGTCGACGACTATTCGTTCAAATACCTACTGCCAGATACCTTAGTATACTGGGCTACAACTACGACGAATACCCTACCGTCCCTACCTCTGACAATCGCGGCCGCCCTACAGCGCATCCCTCCATCGATCCATCCGCGATCCGCCGCACTAATACGAGAAGAGGAGGACGCCGAGTCCTGCACCTGCACTTGCACCTCAAGACACACAGTACAGAGTACACGCCTCTGCTCCGTAATACCAAGAAACTCCCCCAAGACCAGACGACGCAAACCGCACTCGCACTGCGCGGCCAGACCATCCAGCGCCCCACCCGCCTTTCGCCTTACATCTATCTCACCCAGAACGACACTGAATCCTTCCCATGAGGTGTTGATCGACCGCACCAGCGAATCGAGGCCGTCCCAAAGCTCCTTGGACCTTTCCAGAGACCACCATCCCGCTACCGTCTGACTTCATCATATCATCGCTGCCGCCGTCCGTCATCGAGCGACGCCGACTTTCGACTTTCGACACTCTCCTTCATTCAACTTGTTTATTTTGCCCCCTTCGCACCCCCATCAATCAACCCATCCAGGGCAGTTCGCAGTTCCTCGGTCTTCGCACCCCACTAATTGCCCAATTCCTCTTCTCCAAAACCCCAGGCTTCCCTGTCCAGCCTTTCCGTCGTCCGTCGTCCTTGGTCGCTTGGCCCCCCCCTTTGGTCCTTCGTCCTTGGTCCTTGCTCCACCCGTCTCTCGCGACACCTCGACCTGCTCACTCCTGGGTCTCCACCCCCCTGCTAGGTTTCCCTCTTTCCGCCTAGCGCACGACCCGGTCACTGCCTCCTCTTACCCCCAGGTCAGGTCAGTGGTACTGTGCAGTAAGGTGCGCCTGCCTGCCTGTGTGTGAGAGTGTGTGTGTGTGTGTGTGTGTGTGTCTGCCATTCTGCCTCCTGCCGCTGCTGCAGCAAGTCGGGTGCTGGCTCCTGCTTTTACTACGCTACCACCTCACCTACATCGCCCCCCCTCCCCCCTCCTGCTCTCGCATCTCCCTCCACAGCCGCAGACCGCAGACCACGCCCAGCCTTCCTTCCTGCCTGTCAAAACCCGGAGACAGCGAAAAAGGGCCCTGGGCCGTCTTTGTACTGAACAGATCAAACTCCTCAACCTGTTTCAGCTTCGTACCAACAACCACTCCTCCCCTCCCAATTCCCTCTTTTTTATTTTTTTCAACAACAGCTGCCCCCTTGCTGTCACTCAAACCCAAAAACAATCCCGTCGTTAAGGAGAAGAAGGCACGAGCGAAACTCTTTGTTCCCGTCGTCGCTTTTTCTTCCTCCCTTCTTTTAACCTTCTTCTTATTTCCTCTTTGCCAGAAGCGCCTGCTTATTGTTTGTCGAATTTCCTCCGACGGGGTCCTCCCTCGCTCTCCACTCGCTTTTATCCCTTAACCACTGCCACCCCCGAATAGAGAAGTCGCCCTCAAGCTTTCCGACACACTCACCCGCCCCCGACCGTCCTTCTCCGACTGGCGCCGCCTGCCGCTGTGTCAATCGCATCACACGACGACAGTCTCGACCGCCCTGTTGTGTCGTCGTCTCCTTTCCCGATCGACGACCCCCTTCCGCCTCACAAGAACCACCTGACTCTCGACTCCTTCCGGGGAGTCGCCAACACCGTCGACCTGGCTACGAGGCTAGACTCCCGCCGCTCATTGCTCGGCGGTGACCCGAATTTTGCCGGCTACGACCAAGAACTCGCAGCGCAACAGTACGCTCAGCAGTATCAACAACAGTACCAGCAACAGTACAACCCACCCCAAGCATCATATAATCAAGGATACGCCTTTCGCGAAGGCCTCGCTCCATCCACAATGAACGGTTCTCGTCCCGCTAGCGGCAACCAGGGCTTCATGGGCTTCGGCTTCATGGGTGCCAAATGGCCCAGAATCTTCTTCGGCATCACTCTCGTCCAGGCCATAATCTGCCTGGCCTTTGAGGCGTAAGCTCATCGCTTCATCGCATAGTGTGTGATCGCATATCGCTGACAATCATTTAGTTATGTTTTCTGGAAGTTCCAGACCAGCTTGACTGACGATGCGCCGACCGGCAACGCCAAGGAGGATTCGCCCAGAAAAACGATTCCCACCTTTCTCACGCTTTTCATTTTCGGATTCTTGTACGAGTTGGTTATCGTTTGGGATGCTCTTAGGGCGAAAAACACCATTCAGGTCATTGGTGTTTGCATCGCCAACCTCGCCTTGATGGTATACACTGCCATTCAGGTGGACCAGATCGCCGAGGCCGTCGACGAGCTCAAGAGAATCAGCGCGCTCATCAACCCCAACGACGACATGTGGGCTGACGTCAAGCCGTATCTTGTCGCTATTCCCTGCATCCTCGCGTTCGGCACCATCACCATGGGCTTTGTCGCCTGGAAGCTGTACCAGGTCTTCGCTTGGGACATTCTGAAGACGATAGGAGCCGACTACAGAATGAAGAAGCGATTCCTCCACTACCAGGTACGTTCGTTTGCGCCACTTCCCACCGGCGTTCCTTGCTAATCCCATCCAGATTTATATCGCACTCCTGAAGTTCGATTTCTTCTTTTTCCTTGGTTTCACTGTTCAATTCCTCGTCATTGTCAACGCTAGAACCGATGCCGAATTTGGCCTGACCATCGCCGCGATTCCCGTCACGATTGCCATTCTTCTGATGGCGGCCTGGTTCACCAGAATCGAGAACAAGATTGGCATGATCTGTGTTCTCGTCCTCTACTTCGGCGCGCTCAGCTACTTCATTTTCAAGCTCGTCCGCATTTACCAACCCGCGACTCGCGACCAGTATCAACCGGTCCGAAAGTCTCTCACCGCCTTCACAGTCATCACCATTCTCCTAATTATTTGCACAATCGTCAACTGCGTTGTCTGCATGCGCAACTTCAACGCCGGTCTGAAGACTCATCTGCGCAAGCCCTCCAAGGATCTGGAAAAGAATCCGGACTTGAACTCCATCAACCTTCAAGATGTCAAGCCCTCTGTCGCGAGCCGAATGACGATCGACTAAGGGTGGAGCTGGCTTGACCCGATGAAACCGAGGCACCGAACGATTGAAAAGAGACGCCGCGCGATTGTACAAAGACATGACTTACGAACAATGCCACCTTTCTTATCCAAAAAAAAGACTTGAAGCCCAGGAAGGGATCGTGGACGGACGGAACGGTGACACGCGGGCCGGTAGCGTGTTGGACTGGTTGAGATTCCCCATCATCGGCTTTTTTTTTCCCCTTGTTTGTGCACATTGTACGGCGTTGACGATGCTCGCTCCCGCCACCCGAACTGTGGGGGACGAAGACTGGGAGCGGAGTTTACGGATTGATTCTACTTTGGTCGCACTGGCGACGGACTTGTAACCCAGGATACCACGATGACCTTTGGGACCGGCGCCTCCGACTGCGCCCATATGGACCACTGGCTCTTCACAGCGTCGAGGCCGCCTCTGGGTTTAGACAGCGATTTGTTTTCACCACCTTTCCTTGCTGTAACCTATCTAGCATGAGATAATTCAGAACGTTGATGAAACAATGTGTCCACGAAATGTGTTTCCGTCTATGAAGTGACGTAGTTTCATGAGCAGTTTGTTCCAATCTGATGATTCCTTATGGAGGTACTGGATTCATCGCAAAAGCCAAAGTGCAATCTAACATCTCAGATGCCCTGGCATGGTTCAAACCAATCTGAACAAGTAAATCCCAGAAACAAGGGTGTTCAATTTACACTCAGTTGTCGTCGTTGACCTTCACACGTCTCAGTACCCGATCAGCTCACTCACGGACAGAATCAATTAAACGCCTGAGACTTGTGTTAAAGTGGGTTATTTGATTGTATCTCATATTCAAGAAACTAAAAGACGCTTCCCAACCCCCCCAAGACCCGGTCATCAAAGTGAAAAAGAAAACGCCAACCCCCAAAACACCAGAATTTCCCCTGTTCCTAGACGCCTTTGTGGTCCCAGTCCCCTCCAAGTCGCACCTGTTCACCGCCCCACCCTGTTTGTAATGTTTACCTGTATCAATAATGTACTCTACACTTCCCCGCTTGGGCAAAGAGGAATTGTATCTCAACCGAATGACATGTCCCAAGCGATGTGGGCGTCTCTTCTCTCTATCAGAGCTTGATCTCTCTGGCATCCTTGATGTGACCTTCGTTGGGGCAGTACGGACATTTGAACCGTGACCCTTTTGTGAGACGCTGCAGTGACTCCTTGCAAATAACATGGCCGCAGGGCAGCATCATTGGCGGGTTCTGCTCCGTCGTCTGCTCCTTGCTGACAGGGCAGACGAAGATGGGGTGGTAGATCATGCTGCGTGGCAGGGGCGTCTCGAAGGCAAGCTCGTTCTCTGTTGTCCACTCCGTCCTCTTGGCCTTCATGTAGGTCGTGTACTTGATGAGCTGCGGGAGGGCAATTGCACCAGCAGTCGCGGCCACATAGAGCGGGGACTCGGCCGACAGCCCCAGCAGGGAGCAGAACTCCCGTGTGAAGGACAGAGCGACGTCGTCGAACGCAGCCGAAGTCTCAAAGATGTTGGCGTAAGGGGACTGGCCAATATTAGAGGCGTACACCATAGCGCACGACAGCTGTTGAATCTCCTTCAGATGCCGCGACTGAAAGCGTCCAAAGTTGGCTTGAGCATAGGCCAAAGCCCCCGCGCGGCCATTCGAGCCGGGAGGGTCGTCGGGGAGGCCGTTTATTTCTGGGCCCTTGAAGAGCCAGACGAACTGCAGCTTGCTCAGCTCGAACTCGAGGTTGGAGCCACGGGCCTCGAGGTCGTAACCGTTCAACTGGGCCCACTCGATGGCGGGCACCAGGTTGCGGTTCTTAAGCTCATGGAGGATGCTGTACATGTTTGCGAACTTGTCTTGCAGTTCCTGAGATTGAAGAGAGTGTATGTCGGCCTCGAGGTCGTTTGGTGAGTTGCCGTTGGGGGAGGCGGCGCGCGGGGGAGGGCGCTCATGGGCTTCGCGGAGAAAGGTTGAAGCAACGCTAAACTGGCCCTCGCGCAGCATGTGCATGGCAACTGCCCGATTTATTAATGAAGGATACGAAGCCATCGCATCGTAGTCTGTCGGGAGAGGTCGCAGGGGGAATGACTATGTAGCTGGTGTTAGTTGATGTTCGTCCCATGTATGGCGGGCTCGTGAGACGCACCTTGTCGAGGGCCTTCCCAAAGACCTTTTGCGCTTTCGAGACGTCTTTCAGGTCATTGTTTATGGCATCGAAGCCAGCGTTGACGGGGTTTTGTAACTTCGTCATGGTCAAGCTTGCGCGGTGCGGATCGGACGCTGTAGCACGAGGAGGGGGGGATGTGAGCATACGACTGCGGGCGATGGCGGGGGTTCCGTCCTGGGACGGCGAACGTACCATTGGCAATCTGCTCGCGCGCCTGGACGAGCATATCGAGGAGTTTGTCGGCGTCCTTGACAGCCGAGTTGAGTGTCGCTTTGCGAAAGCGGGAGAGCTCCGCCTGGAGCGTCATCATGGGGTTCTGTTCCGCCATGTTGGGAGCGGTCTTCGGGGTGGCTCGTATGTGGTGATAAGTGGGAATTGGTGGTGTAGATGGCGTAGTGTATGTTGCGGCGGGCTCGAGTGATGGAAGTTACGACGGGTAGGTCATGGTAGCGGGAGATTCGATCGAAGCTCCGGTCGTCAACGAAGCGGTGATGTCTATCGGATCTCCGAGAGAATGACAGCAGTCGTTGAGCCGGCAGGGTGAATGTTGCTGGTCCCGCTGAATGGTTGTCCAGGATGGAGTTCTACACGGCTGTCACCGTCAACAGGTAGCGTGCTCGGTAGCTGAATCAGTGGCCAGAGTTGCCGGGGGAGGTCCACGGGTGGTTAAGAGCGCAGGCCCACAGGTGACATTGTGACTGCCCGCCCAGAGTGCATACAGTAGGTTGAGTTGCCGCGACGGCGAAATGGGCGGCCCGGGTGGCAGGTAAGGTAAGGTCAGGTCCAGCACGAAGTCGGGCAGGTGTGGGCGAGGAGGGGGCGCATAATTATGGGCAGGGGGCCGGGGTAGCTGCTGCTGCGGCGGCGGTTGTATGTATTTCGTACTTATGTACTTAATACCCGTAGTATGAACATAACCTCGATCGAGGACGACTGTAAATCATTATAATTAGGGACGACGACGGGTACAACTATGACGATAGTAGAAACAACAATAGTAGTAACGATAGAGGCGATTAAAGACGACAGTAGCGGACGACGATAGCGGACGACGACAGCGGACGACGACAGCGGACGAAGACGACAAAAGCGACAGCGACAGCGACAGCGACGACAATAGCAATGACAATAGCGAGTGCTCAGGCAGTGGTCTCGCATGATTACTTAGTACGGGCAGGGGGCCGGGGTAGCTGCTGCTGTTGCTGTTGCGCTGCGGCTGGGAGCCCGGTAGATCTTTGGGCCATCGCGGAGAGACGGGGACCTTACCTTGGAACCTTAGCGTTGACCGCTGCCACCCTTTTTTTTGCCCGTTATCCATTCGCTGAAGCAGCCCGTGGTACAGCTCCTGCAGCGGCCCAACCAATCCACGACAGCAGTACCTACCTACATTGCGTCACATGCCGACCGCTTTCCGAACCAGAAGGAAACGATATAGAACGACCAAAAGAGACGCGCAAGTCACATGCAGGGCGGCATTCAATTCTCTGCGCCTTTTTCTGCATCTGCGACAGTCTGCGAGCCCGACCGACCGAACGATCTGAGGCGACTATGATCTCGACTGCGACCGCGTGGAGGTAGAGCTGCTGGGCGCTTTAGTGTCGTCGATGCTGCGCTCCTATGGAGATGGCGTTCCGATTCCCCTTCCCGGTCAACGACCCGCGAATGCATCGTGAGGAGGAGTTGACACTGGCGAGGGTTGCGTCTCAGCAACAGCAACAGCAACGGAGCAAAGGCCCTTCTCCCCTGGACACACCCCTGCCTCTGGAGGCGCGAAAGGAGGTCTCTGTCGAGTCCGCGACACCATCTCCCTTACCGGCGGCCAAGAAGAAATGGGTCTTCGCCGATCCTGTAGCCTTCAGGTGAAGTTTTCGTGAAGCGCGAGTGTAGGGGTTTGAATCTGACAGCTCTGCAGATACCTTGAGAGTGATCCAGCGGTGACCGTTATCGAGCGACGAGGCGTCTTGCAAGGCTACGAACTATATCTGGTGGAACAATGGGCATGCTCGCGCAAGTCGCCTACTCTAGTGATTGTTACCTACACGGGCGACCCAAAGCATTCCGTCGTGGTTGGGGTGCTGGCTGTCCCCGCGGACGAGAGCACTTGGTCAGATCGACTGCGATTCTACTTCAGGGCCATCCACCAATACCATGCCCGACCCAAGGAAACGCCGCTGGGCGATGTTATGGTCACCAACCTGAGCAGTTTTCCCTCGGCCCTGACAGTTATACCCGTGCCTGAGGGCGACATTCGCACCCATCGCCAGGCCTTCATCGTCAACGAGAACCTCAAGCGACTGGGATGTTCCGGTCGATCTGGCATGACTCTTGCGGACCCCATACCCCCGACTCAAGCCAAATTCTACCAGCTCTACAAAACCAGCGAGAAGGTCCCATTTCCACAGTCAGTCATCGAACTCGTCAAACTGTGCCAGGTTTCCTTGTTCATGTTTGGGAAGTTGGATAACGAATATATCGATGGATTACTATGCGACAAGACGGAGGAGTCTATCGGAAACTGGTGGACGGAGCTCGGCGCAGAATCGTACAACGTCGAGCCGACAGATGGCATCCTGGGACCAACAACGGTAGCGGCCCTGTTGGGCATGCTGATGGGTGCAAGAAATCGTCTACACTACTACGGTGCTCCAGTATCCAAAGATGTCTTCGACATTGAAAGCACTAAGCGGGGAATTGCTTATTTCCAAAAATCAAACAAGCTCGAGCGGACGAGACGACTGGATCGTCCGACTATTCTAAAGCTCCATAGCGCCACTGCGAAAGCAGCCGCTGGCGAGGGTTGGGGCGTGCAGAAAGCTGTCAAGTCTGCCGTCGGTGAAATTGGCGGCAAGAGGGGTGAGCTGGTCATCGGCATGGTTAGTGGCGGAAAAGATAAGGCTGGCATTGCTGATATCGAGACCGTCGACATTGACAGGTTCATTGCCTTGGCTTATGGTGAGCGTGCAAAATGGCTTTGGTATGGCCGACCCCGAAAGACGGTTCCTGAACTCCAGGAAAAGTCATCGGACATTGGTGCTCCGCTATTTGGGAAAGACGAGCTAGCTGCGCAAGCAGGCAAGCGAACACAATCAATGCCTCTCGAAGAAGAAATTCAGAAGCACAGAGAAGAATCTTCCGGGGTCTACTCAGCTCCCGCGCCTGCCTCGGCCGTTAGTGTGGTCGACGCACCCGGAGATAAAGACGCCCTTAGGAAAACGGTCTTCAAGTCGGTTGCTGGCAGAGTTAGCGATGCCAAGTCTGGGCTTGGGCGCATTAAAGACGTCGTCGGAACGGGTTTGAGAGGTCATGCCAGTCGTCCTAGCAGAGACGATTTTGGTGAGAATGGCTACAGCAACAGCGCCCCTATCTCAGCACTGGCGCATACATCTGCAGCAGCCTTGTCGTCTCCCGTCGTTGTTGGTAGAGCCTTCACTTGGAAGAATAAGCCAGAAGAATACCTGGCACAGTTCAAGAAGGAGGCGGACGCTGCGCAGGCAATTCCGGAATCATCGCAGGAACTAGTTAGGTCCCCGGAGCTGCTGAAGTCCCCAGAGGTGAAGCAGATTCGCGAAGCTTCTGAGCCCAGCTCGACACGTGTAGAAGGTGCCTACGCAACACCTCCAAACGGGCCCGTAAAAGAGGAGCCTGAAAAGATTCAAGCATCTGTGGCTGGCTCAGTGGTTGATGAAGCGGACCTTCATGGGCCGTTCGAGGCGGAGCGGGGTGATAACAATGCTGTGGGCTTTCTCCAGCGGCGTCACTCTATCGCGGTGTCCAGGCTTTCCTACAAACACCCACTTAACGAAGCTCGGTGGCCTCGAAGGCTGTCCTTTGGTGAAGCAGAGGAAGCCGTTCTACGATGGGAGGAGATCACCGAGGTCTACGACGACAAGCACTTTGCTACAGCCGATGCTCTGCAACAGCAAGCCAGTCTAGCCGAGTTCGCCCGGAGCCTTTATGATTCTATCGCAGTTATCAAACGAGACGTCAACCCCTGGGTAGAGTCTAAGGTCAAGGCCGTTGAAGGGGTGGACGAGCACTACGCTCACGAACAGGAAGACCTTCAGACCCTCTACTACCAGCTCAGCGAGGCTTACCAACGGGTTAAGCAAAGCTCCTCGGAGCTCATCGCCGAAGAGCGAGCGCACATCACTGAAGCCATTAAGGAGGTGGAGGTATTGGTTGCGCGACTAGAATACGAGGTTAACGGTCTCGTAAGCAAGGTCGACGACGTCGAAGACGGAGTCAGGTTGTTCGAGAGACAGGTCGAGGACGTTGAGAAGCGCGCCGAGGAGTTAAAGAAAAGTCTCGAAACGGAAAGCTGGGCACACTGGTTTGTCAGGACGCTCACCGGTATCGGGACTGGTCCCAACATCACAAGGGGATCGTAGACAGAATGGTGGGCTGCATAGCGTGGTTCGTTTGGCTTTGGCATCGGGAAGACCTCCTCGCGGGTTTGCATATATAAGTTATCACAGTATTTAAAGGTTGTGTTCGCGTGTGTTGTTAGGCGCGACAGTATTGTATATCTATCTCTCTGCCAGAAAAGCAGACTGTCCTTACATCAGCTAGTTCAATAATACCTTATGGAGGCAAGGTTGGACCGCTAAGTATCGTTGTTGTCTCCATCGTTGTTGTCTCAATTGTTGTTGTCTGTACTGTCGTCGTTGTCGTCTATTAGGATCGTCATCCACGATCGCCCTCGTCCAGTATTGTCTTCGTCTGCTGTCGTCTTCGTCTGCTGTCGTCGTCTCTACCATCGTCATCTTTACTGTTATTGTTGCTGTTGTCTACTGCTGTTGTCGTTATTGTCGTCGTTGTCTCTACTGCCGTCGTTGCTGTCGTCTACTGCTGCTGTCATTATCGTTTATTATTGTCGTTACTATCGTCCTCTACTGTCGTCGTCGTTTCTACTGTTTTATGATTCTTGTTTAAATTCTCAATTAAATTCCTTAAATCTTTGTGTATGTGAACGCAATAAGCGCGAAAGCTCAGAAAAGATTGGCTTTCTCTTCAATAACATTCTTTAGGAGGATCTCGTAGTCTGGCTTAGCTCTACTATCAGGTTACTAAGTCGTAGACTTGGTGCATCTCCTACCGTCAGCAAATCGCAACAACGGCTGACGATGAATAAGTTAATTCCTGAATAACGTGTTTTCTTGTGGCAGAATGGTTCACCAATCATGTTTTGATAAGCTTACTTGGATAACTTGTCTAGCACAGGCTTAATAGCGTGCCTCTGAGAAGCGATTCAGACTATCAGCGGAAGCCATCAGTTCCTTGCCACATGTCCCCCATCCAACTCAGCCGCAGGGTATCCTGAGTCCATCTCCCTGGGACCCCCAGCCCACCGATTTGTTTCCATCTCCGATGGAGGAGGCTGTGGGCTAGCCTGCCATTGCTGCTGGGTGTACCCGGGAGGTGTCTGTTTGGACCAGTCTTGCTGCATTCCATGGCCGGCAGCAGCGCCGTCCTGGCCCTCTGGAGCGGCCGCATCAGCATGCTTCTTCTTCCATCTCCTTCTCAGCATGAAGAAAACCAGCACTCCAAGCGCTGTTCCCACAAGCGGGCCAACGACGACGCCGGCTATCCATGCTTTGCTACTTGAGCCTGAACCTGAACCCGAATCAGAGCCCGCGGAGGTGTTCGTCGGAGTGCTCGCGCTGGTGGAAGTGGAAGTTGCTTGGCCTATTTCGTCTAAGAGTTAACACAGAGCTAGTTGCTGGCAAGAGTTGGGTTTTCACGAACCGGTAGAAGACGAAGAGGTTGCTGTTGCTGCTATCGACAAAAACAGCTCCGTCTCCGTGTTTGCACCAGCACACCAGATGTCTCTGTTGAACGCCCCATCTGCGGGTGGCGTTGCGTAAACCGACATCGTCCAGCAGGTCGCCCCGGCATTGCAGTCCTGCGTGCTCCCTCCGTCCCAATGACATTACTACGGCAGTCGGTAGGAAGGGGACACTTCGTATCCGTACAACAGCCTGCGTAGCCCGCGGACGTTGTTCTAAACTGCCCGTTTGCGCACCACTTCGGACTCGCTGTTCATCGTGGAAGCGCAGCGTCAGTCCTGTCCAGGAAGCTCGTGATAGTCTCGAAGTGGCGACTTACTGGTAACACCTTGGATGTACCAACCCCTAAAGTTGGAGTCGCCACTCGCGTCTGGCCTGATCCAGGTTGATTCAGCTATCGCTGTAGACGCGAGAGCCCCCGCCGCCGTCAGGACGCAGGCTTTGACAAAAGTCAGGGAAAGCATGGTCACCGTTGAACGCGTGTAGGCAGGACTGTGTGAGACAGGAACACACGCCTCTCGAGCGGCAAAACCGAAAGAGACGGAGGGGACTGCGAAGAAACGAAGGAACACAGGACGAAAGGGCGTCATCAATTTTAATTCTGCTGCCTCCAGAGTCCTGGTCTCAGTTACCGTCCATCGACCAGGGTGGGTTAAGGCAGACCGCTGCTACCTAATCATACCTACTCTCTTGAAGGATCGCAGGGTCCAAAAACTAAAACTTAGCGCGACCAGGACCAGGAGCTTGTCTGCGATGCAAAAGCGAGGGTCCCGCACCTACCGGAGACGAAGACGGGCCAATCTATTCCTGTTTCGAGCGTACGAACGGGGTAGAACGGCTCATTCTGGCGGAGCAGGAAGAGGCTTGGCTGTATGCATGTCAGATTCACTCACACCCTGAGTGGCAGATTCGGTTTTAAGGCTGGCGAATGGAGCAGGGGTTTACAACTCTCCACATGCTCTAGTGGTTACATCGACGACCTATGTAATTTCAAAGTCGCTGAGGATGGGCATCTCGTGGTCAGTTGGTTTTCTGAAAAAATATTTGTAGGTCGGTCGGTGGTGCAGGTTGTGGATAAAATGGTGACGGTGAAGAATCAGACGATGGCGTGGACGTTACATACAGGAAGGGCATGCTCTTGAACCATACTGGCTTGCCAAGTTGGGATCTGGGGCATTTAGTAGAGGTCATGTCTCTGGTTTTGTCATGTCTGTCCAGGGATGTCGTCTAAAGTAAGTCGGGACGTGAACTGAGGGTGTTTGGATTTCCGATTTCCGTTGTCGATATATTGAGTCCTCCTTTGACTCTCTGTCCTCAAGGTAGGCTTCTGGGCCTAACCGAAAAGTTTAGAGACCCTTTTGACTGTGCGCCTCAATGGGAAACAGCCAATGTGGTAGTGGTAAAAGCATGACCTGTAAATACGGCTTCTACGTGGCGTCTGTAACCTGGACGGCTATCTATGTATAAGACTTTTCTTGCCCGCGTGGACTCGAGTATTCTAGCAACCAGCGTGATATGCTCCGACGTGGTAATAAAAAAATGGCGCACTGCCTGAAAGGCTTCCTGCAGAGGCTTTTCCAGTTTTCAGATCCCGAGAATACCGTCAGTTTCGAAGAATCGATCAGTCTCCAAGAAAACAATCCTAGTGAAATCGACGATGCACGCTGCGACTGGACCACTACCGACGAAGAGAGTGGAGAAGGAAGTGATGAAGAAAGCGACGAAGAATCAGTAGGTTAGCAACGTTCACTCTGTTAAGCACAAAAGTTGATATCAGCCCGGACGACAGATCGGTGAACAGTGACGAAGGCGACGCTGTTCAAGTGGGCTATGCGGACAGGCCTCGTGACACCGACGACAGAGCTACGATGACGAGCACTTCAAATACAAATGGTCGTACCAAGTCCAGAAACAATTTGAATGCTTTGGGATGGCCAAAGAACGCAAGAATTGACCCGTGGATGGCTGCGGTCTGGCAAAACGCCGTGAGGAGCCCTCTCTGCGGACTGCCCGACCCTATACTCCTCAACATAATGCAACGACTCGACTTGACAGCGATATGTCAGCTCCGGCGGGCATCTCGCGAGTTCCTGCGCCTATTCTCGTATCACGAGTTCAAAAAGTGGCGGTACAAGGGCAGCGACTACAAATTCCTATGGGCATCGCCAGTGCAAGCGCCAGGTTCGGTGGACGCGTTGAAGTTTGGAGCACCGAGTGCGTTCTGCGAGCCCTGCTATGCGAATCGCAACCTATATGATTGGAGGCTTTCTAAAGCAAGATGTCAATTGTATTGCTCTGGATGCAAGCAAAAGCACACGGCCAGCTTGTTTTCGGCAGCCGAGCGCAACAAGGGGCACTCGAGCGAATATGCATCGGTCGTGAGGGATATATCCGCCTGTGTGAGCACAAGACATTCAATTGGGATGACTTCGTCAGGGCATCTTCAGAGGCATCAAAATTTCCCCGAGACGGCGGCTTTTTGAGATTCTGCGAGCACGTCTCTCACCAGCCTGGCCTACCACCGGTTGAGTACGATGCCTTCGTATTAGGCCAGTGGGTGTATTCGATGAAGACGGTGCATATGTCGTTTCCCCGTTCCCCCCGGGCCTTTCGTTTGAACGCTGATAAGCTGCGACAAAGACTGGCAGAAGACCAAGCGCGCGACCCATGGCTGTGGTATCCCGAGAAAGGGCCACGGCGCCTGGACCCCATGGGTTGCTTCGACCCTAATCTTTGTCTCTGCCTACATTACGAAGGCAGAGGCATATTCGAACCTCTTCTTCACCCCAAAGCACCAAAAGCGCCGAACTGGCTGGGAGACTGCCCTCGTAGCCCTGGTAAGTTAATGTTCCTTCACCAGGCCAGGCCAGGTCTTGACGATGTCGAATGCTTACTTAAATCCAGATGGCCATGAAAATTACAAGTGGGCAAAGAACGCCAAGTCGTATTTACAGTCCGAATTTCGCCGCTGTGGCAAGCATAAAAAGTGTTTGATACTAGAACTTACTCGCTCATTTTCCACGACGGATGATCGAGGACGACCGTTGACGCCTTCGAGCCCTGGGTGGTACCTTGCTCTGGACCCGGCGTCGCACAACCTCACCGAGGACGATGAGTTTAAGGAGGTCACATGGTGTGAAGACCAGGCTTGTAGGAACTACTACAAGCTCCGAGAGAACGCCAACCTCGGGACTGCGTAATAACTGGACGGGCCATGGGCTCAGACATCGAACTAAAAGAAGAGACCGGTGTGATGTACCGCAGAATGGATCTGACTACTACAAATAGAACATGTCATGATTGTCGCCGTTATTGCTTACTTGTTCGTAAACATAATAAACATGACTCAAATAGACATTATAAACAAACTTGATATTGCATCTAGTCATTTACACCTCTCTCTCTAATCATTTCCTTTGTCTATCCACGGATATCTTATGCTCATCAAACCGTTGCACCGAAATCCCAAACCTCCAATCCAACACCGCCAACCACGACCTTGCCACCCTCAATAAACTCCAAATCACCAGCGTCAGCAACGCCACTGTACTGGTCTGCTAACAAAGTGACCTCTTCAACGCCTTGTCGCCAGCCGACCTGCCACATCTTGACTCTCTGGTCATTGCTCACAGTCGCGTACACAACCTCCCCACGCTCCGTGACTCTCAGCACCGTGAGCCCGTTGATGGCAGCCGCATGCCCCTTTCTCACACCCGCCCTGCCAACCGGCTTGAACCCGTCCTTCGGGTCAAGGGTCGTGATGCCGAGGGCGTTGTCATCGCCTCCGGTCAAGAGTACAACCCTTTCCGCAGTGCTGTGGACATCGAGAGCTTTGATACTGCTCTGGTGTACCCTGGCAGTATATTTCAATACAAACTCTCCACCTTCGCTCTTCCAGACACCAACACAGCCATCCGTGGCGGCAGTGACAACCTCCCACGTGCCATCCTGGATCTTCAAATGCCGCACCTGGGTGAGACACGCGCCTGTGTACCGGCCCGTCGCCAGAAGCTCGAATCCCTCGTCCGCTGAGTAGCGATACGTCTTGACGACCGAGTTGGAGAACGCCATGGTGATTCCCACCACCCCCTCTACCCGCGCAACATCAAAGCTCGTGATCCGCAAGTCCCCGTCGGCGCTTCTGTCTTCGAAGACGGCCTCGCGCATGAGTCCCAGCCCAGCGGCACCAAGATCCGTGGCCCGCCAGACCATGAACTCCTCGTTACCGGAACAGCTGAAGAGGAGCTCCTCACCAAGCCACTTGAGAGATTGAAGACCGGCCGTGTGGACCTTGACGACCTTTACACACCGCATCTTCCTCTGAAGCGGCTTCTCCGAGTTCTTGTACTCCCAGATGCGGATCGCGGTATCCTCGGCGCCGGTGGCGACATACCGCCCGGAGAACGCAATGGCCCTGACTTCTCTACCGTGCGTGCCTCTCTTCAACGTCCTGTGCCAGGCCACCGCTTTCTGCGTCTCAGGCTGCTCATACACGCCGAGCGTAGCAGCCTTGTTGAAGACAAACCTGACCCTGTCCTGCCTATCATACGCAAAAGCGCGATGGGCGCCTCCGCAGTCGAGCCTCAGGACCTCCTCGTGGCGCGTCTCGTTCCACACCACGAAGTTCTTGCTGCGGAAACCGCAGAGAATCAGGTCCGTCCCGGACATCCAGGAGTCTTCGAGATTCGGGACTGCCGTGGGCGCCGTCTCGTGGCGGAGGATGAGCGAGGACGGGCCGATTTCGTAGATGCGGTAGTTCCCGTCTCTGCTCGTCGTGATGATGTGCTTCTCGGGCGAGGTCGCCAGAGGCTTGATAGAGGTGATGCTATCCGCCGTCCGGCGATCCGGGGCGGGGAAGGGGGTGAGCTGGGCCCCCAAACGACGGAACACGTCCATGTGTCCGTGTCGCGAGCCGAGCACGAGGAGGTCGTTGACGAGACAGGCTGCTGTGAAGACGAAGCGGTTGTCGAGGTCGACGGGGATCATGGATGTGATGGCTGAGGTCTCCAGATCGAGCGTGAGGAGCTGCATCGCTTCCTCGCCGCCGAGTATCGTGACCAGGAACTCGAGCTTTCCACTCTCGGAAGAACCCAGACAGAAGATGTCGGCAACCTTCCCAGGCACCGTCCCGATCTCGCGAATCTCTCCTCCCCTGAACAAGAAAATCTTCTTGTTCGCAGTACCCAATAACGCCAGTCCCTCCATCGGGCTCTTGAGACTCGTGCAAGCCCTCAAAGCGCTCAAAGTTGTCCCGTCGGTCCCAATCTCCTCCCAGGTCAGCTCCGTCCCAAACGAGCCGACCAGCAACCTCCCAGTCGTGCTGGTCGCAAGCAGCGTATCCTTCCCGATGAAGGCAAACCGATGAAAAGCCTCCCTCGTCTCCGCCGGGATCGCAAACTCCTGGCCCCTGGCCGTCAACTTCGCAACCACATCCTTCAGAACCAGCGTCCTCAGCTCATGAGGCAGCTCGCCGACCCTGGCCGTGGACCGGTCAGTCAACAGGTTGATCTTGCTGTCCTGCCCGCCCGTCGCAACGACCACCTCCCCACCACTCCTCTCCGCCAACGCGGTCGTCCAGATGTGCTTCCCGTCATGCTTCGCATACGTCTCCAGATGGGTCAGGCTCGCGGCTACGTCACCGCTGCCGCTGCTTTCGCCGCTCAGGCCCTGCCGCCACTGCACCTCGTCAACGTCCAACCTCCACCTCTGCAGCGTCGAGTCCTCGCCGAATGAGTACACCGTGCCCCCTGCGGGCCCGAACGTGCGCGGGAACCTGACGTGCCAGATGCGCGAGATGTGTCCCATCACCATCGCGAGCGGCCTGCTCGACGCAACGCGCGTGGCCGACAGATCCGCGGGTGCCGCGCCGCCGTCGTTGCCGCCGCCAAACCCGGTCTCCCGCGCCTCGCCAAAGGAGTCGTACTGCAGCCGCGGCGCCCCCTCGCGCTCCGAAATGTCCCAGATGCGAATGGTCCTGTCATCGCTGCAGCTCGCCAGCAGGCGTGCCGTTTTGCCGTCCTCGCCCATCGAGATCTCGGGCGAGATGTCCACCCCAAAGATGGACCCCTCGTGGCCCGTGAAGACGAAGAGAACCTCGCACCACGGCTGCTGCTTGCCGTCGTCAAAGTGGCACTTCCAGAGCAGGATCTCGCCAAAGACGGTGCCGCCGGCGATGAGCACGCAGGAGCCAGACACCCACGTCGAGTTGGCCGAGTACAGAATCGGCCGGGACGGGGAGACGATCCTCCCGAACACGACGTGCCGTCCGTCGTCCGCGATGCAGAACTCGAGAGCCTCGTTGTGCGCCGTCACGAGCACGCCGCGGGAGGGGTCCTCGGGACAGATGGCGCCGTCGTAGATCCAGTCCGGCGCCTTGGCTTCCACGATCTTGGGCGGGCTGTGGTCGTCAGCCTTGCCTGACAAGCACGCCTCGATCACGCTGACGGGCAGGACCGCCACGGCCTGGTTGCCCCAGAGCAGCACGCTGCCGCCCCCGACGCTGATGCCGTGGATGGGCTGGGCGCGGAAGATCCTCAGCTGGCATTGCAGGATGCCTTCCCCGTCGTAGACCTTGAGGTCCGTGTCCTCTCCGGCCAGGAGATACTGCTGCTGCTCGCCATCATCACTACTCGATGTGGCACCCAGGTCTAGGAAGCAGAGGCCGGTGACGGGGGTAAGCTGATGGTCCCGCCGTAGTGAGGGCCGGGCTACCTCTGATTTCTGCTGCTTGAGGCGGTTAGCCTACTTGGGTCTTATTGCCAAACCATCTCTCTTCCTCTTGCGCGGCTATTTTTGAAAAATTGAGAAGGCAGACGGATATCAATGAATGATGACTAACTGCATAATGATTCATTGGGAAGTCCTTTAGTGTCGGTCTTCCCTGGGTCTTAAAATCTCACCAGACCCTGGAGGGGTTGATGTAGTCCTTTCTCGCAGGAACGAGCGTTTCGTTTCCCCGTCGCGGCTACTGCAAAAATGAGGGGGAAAAATAGCGAATGAGTTTGTTGTTGCTGCCTACTGTCCCAGGATCATGATGCTAGCTTGTGCGGCTGAGCTGTCGCATAGGCGGTAGGAAATCCTTCAACTCCTCAGTTCCGGTCAGCAAGGTTGGTGGATCGAGTCATCAACCACCCCTCTCGCGCTCTGTGTGTGGAGATTTTTTTTGGTTCGTGATTTGTGTGGGAGAAATTTTGAAGCATCCATCGACAGTGCGAGTGGCCCAGGAATGCACGTTGCTGTCACGATTCACTGACGGACGAATTCTGCCACATGAAACGATGAAACCAGCGAATAAATGGCTCACAAGTGGTGTTGAGAAAGAATGTGTGAAAAATCTAATGTGTTTGTTTTTGTGCTGTATAAGCATGATAAATTCTATAGACAATAAGCCTGGTTGGGTATCATCCATCCCCAGGAATCCTCGCCCTCCCCCATTGTTCCCGTCAAGCTAGACCATTCGTAAACCACTTCCTCCGCGCATGTCGTTCGTGCTCGTAATAATAAAGTCCGTTACCCAACGCCAACGATGCAAAATCAAATGAGTGCCAAATCGCACAGCTTCTTCGTACAGACATTACCGCCCATTAGTCCAAAAGATCGCTTAAGAACGGTGGGAGTAGGGCTCGTAGGCCATGTCACCACGGGCACCGCTGGCGTAGCGGGGAGCACCGTACTGGGTGGCCTGCTGCTGCTTGTAGTAGCCGTTCTCCTCGTGGATAGGCTGGTAGGCGTTGGTGTTGCCGGTAGGCAGGAGCTTCTCGCCGTCGCTCTGGCGCTTGCGCTCCTTGCGGGTGTGGTTGGGAGCGCAGCAGCAGATGGTGAACATCCAGAAGAAGCCGGCGCCGAGAGCGAGGGCGGCGGAGATCCAGATAAGAGCAAGGAAGCTGTTGTTGAAGGAAGATGAGACACCGTACCACTTAGCGGAAGCCTCGACAGCACCGACAACAACGACGGCGGTGGCGGTAGAGAGAGCAGCAGAGGCGCAGACAGCGACGGAAGCGAGAGAGGCGATCAGGAAGGTGATGCAGGACATGGCGCGGGTGCAGTTGGCGAAGATGCCGAAGACGATCTCAAGGCCGAGAGCAATGAAGGAGATGATGTAGGCGACCTGGGTCCACTTGCTGACGGTCTTGAAGGCGGAGAGAGCGCTGGTGATCTCGTCGGGAAGCTCGACCTTCTTGCCGGTGACAGAGCCGATGGTGGTCAGGGTGGTGGTGTTCAGGTACTCCTCGGCCCAGTTAAACTTGGCCTTGGTGCAGGTCTTGTCGCCGTTGGTGTCGGTGGTGCAGTAGCCCCAGAGAGCGATGTCGTAGAGGTTGTCGAGGCCGAGGTCAGCGGCGGTTACGTTGCTGGTCTGGGTGCCAGAGCTGTCGGTCTGGGCCTTGGAGAGGCCGGGGGCGGAGCCGCCGCTGAGCAGAGCGCGAGCGTTCAGATCGCGGCTTACTACGCTTGATAGTGAAACGGGGTTGATCTCGAGATCGGTGAGGTTGACACGGAACAAGTAAAGGTCCTTGTTGGAAACACCACCCAGAGCGGCCACCATCAAGAAGATGAGAGAGCCGACGGTGAGGATAAATGGCAGAGCCACACAGATAACACGGCCGACACCCATTTTCTGTTGTTGTGTGTTGTTTATCGGAAAGTTGGCAGTAGTAGTCGTCGAGTTTGTAAATGGATCTCGGGTAGTGAGTGGGTCGAGTGGCTTGTTGGTCAAAGAGTGTACCGGAAAGCGAAGGTTGGTTGATATAAAGTTTGGGAGATGGAGAAGAGGTGAAAGGGAAGAAGAGGAGATCCCTTGGGTGTTGGTTGGGAGGAGGTGGGAGAGATATAAACGGATGTGAGTGTGATGGGAGCTAGAAGTAAGAGGCTGACACAAGACGGACGAGCGTTGATGTTTATAAAACTGGTCGTTCGTAGTAGGTTGGGGGTGCGGTTACGTACATGCGTGTGGTATCCATAGACCGGGACGTCGATGTCAGAGGGCGAAGTGCAAGCAGGCAGGCTGGGGACGGGGACGGGACTGGGGACAGGGACAAGGACGCGGACGTGGCGCAGTACAGCGACGAGTTTTTGGTGGAGATGGGACGGAGCGGCAGCAGAGAGTGACCTAGAGTGATGCGCAGCAGGAACAGCACCAGCACCAGGCGGTCGGTCGGCACTGGCAGCCAAGCCATTGCGGACGCGGTCGCGGTCAGTGGGGCCTGCTGCCAGTGCTCCTCCAGCTGTCTCTCTATTCGTACCGCAGCCCGTACCTATGATCTCAGCCTGGTGCGTGCCCTGTCTGCGGAACAATGCCCGCAATCATCGGTGACTGAGGTGAAGGAAAGGAAAGTCAACAGACCTGCCCTACGGTGTGCCCACTTGCTCCCGTCACTGTCCCCTGGCTGGCTGCTGACGGGCTGCAACTCGCCTCCACACAGCTTAGCGGCACGACTCAGCCCCCGGTCCTTCTAGGAACACCCATGACCGTTGGGGGAATCCCTCGCCCGAGCAACGGCGTCGAGCGGCCAATCCACACCTCTACACTGCGCAGACGCTGCTGCTGCTGCTGCTGCTGTTGCTCGTCGTGGCTGCGCGCCTTACGAATACCTGCCGACTGCGGTACGGCGATAGAGTAGAGCTATCCTCCACCTCCCACATGCCGTGCGGGAACACTGTATCACTCGAATCATCATCCATGCTCGAACATGTCCGCAGGGCTTTTTACGTTGTGTCTTGGCTCTTTGCTGGAGGGGCTTTGGAGATGACCGATGCATAACGAAAAAAACACCAACACCAAAAGAGAATCATGGCCGAACACTTGATCCTCACGAATGCCTACATGCGGAATTGAGGATGAGGAGGAGGATCTGGGGTGGTTATCGGAACCGACTTACGGATAGCGTCTGCGAGCGGCGGACAGGGGTCATGGAATCCGTAGGGCAGAAACCGGTGACGCCAGAATACAGAAAAGAGAGAGAGAAAAAAGTACCTTTTGGCTGTGCTGCCTGCGCACGGCTACCTCTTTCTGACACTGGCGTCAAACCTAGCAGAGGCTGATGTGCTGCATTTACGAGCAGGTACCAGCTGCCCTGTGGCATTGCTTCCCGTGATTCCATCGACGTCTTTCCAGAAGTCGGTGTTCTTCATGTAAAGAGGCATCTGCGCTCGTTGTCGTCACCTTGCGGGGCTTGCAGCCTAATAGTTCTGTGGGATCGTGGAGGGAAGACAACCCCTCCAAATTCCAATCTCACATCACATCTGCTCACACCTGCACAGGAGCCTTGTCGATGCTGCCGCGGGTTGATGAGAAACTGCCGGGCCAAGACCAACACCAAGGCCGACCCGACACTGGCTGAGAGGCTGCGAGTGCTAGCGACCGACCCTGCCCATCTCCCCCATCCCAACGGCGGCGAAGTCAAGCAAATTGACATTTCGTGTGCCTGTAAAACCTCAGGGCTAGGCCGCAAGAGGTCATGGTACGCGTCCTGTCTCTCGCGTTTCTCATTCGTCCTTGACGTGTTTGGCCGGTCGGACTCGTGTGTCGTGAGCTCGTGGTTCAGATGAGAACTGGGAAGAAAGTGAATCGTGTTGCCACACTGTGCGCAGTATCGGTACATGAGCTTGCCTCCAGTCTACTGGCCTACTATGGCAGTAACATCTGCTGGGCACAGCAAAGTCCTGTTTCCCATCTTCTCTGCCAGGATTCACCGTCCATCACCAGCCACTGGAAGCCGATCGGTGGTCTGTTGCTCAGTCACCATAAACACCATTGGCACCCTAGGAGACCATCGACATCAAGATTTGCCTTGATCGACAACAGTTCGTTGTCTGACACGTCCAGAGCTGCACGTCGGGCTCCATACGTCCACGCAATTAGAGTGGCCCGGGGTGGTGGTCGTCATCTTGCGGAGGCTCAGCTGTTTGTTTTTTTCTTCTCTCTCTGTGTCGCTGTCCCTTTGCGGCAGCTCACTACTGCATTCACTACTGCAGGTTGGTTGCACCCTCAAAAACCACTTGGCGCCGGGTTTTCAATCGCCCACGTTCCGCCTTTCAGTGTGAAAGGTCAGCCCTCAGCTTCAAGTCAGGTGTGACGACCGGAGATAGGCTCTCACTGCTGACCTGAGCCTGTGAGAGCACGACAAGAGCTGCTGCTGCTCAGCCCCACGGGACCACGTTTGGTAGCAACCGGTTATCGGGTGGTGAGGTAGTAATGCGTGTGGCTGGTCCGTCGGGCTCGCCAGATCGCCCACTCAGGGCAGGCATCCACCCAACACCCACCCGAGGCGGAACCTAACCCAACTCTCTAATTTTAGAAACGACCCGTGGACGCCTTTTTCTTCCTTTGCCCACCCGCAGGGCCACCACCACCAACGCCATTATGATTAAGCTATCCTTGAAAGCCCAGAACACCACTTTCCGCAGCGGCCCCGAGCCGCAATCGCGGTAGCTGTTAAATTGACCGTGTCGTTTTGTTATTTTGCTTGCGCTAGCTATATATAGTAAGTATATAGGTTAACACAGCTACTCTATAGAATCTCTATTAAACTACTATATATCTCGATTTAAGAGTATAACTAGTTTTTAGCTAAAGGTTTAAAACTTTAGGACTTACTTAGTTAAATCCTTACTTTTTAGTTAGCTTAGATTAGCTAGAGTTTTATTAAATTATTAAATAATTTAAAAACTCCTTGGATTTAAGTAATTTAAGGTTTAATAATTAGTTTTTTAGATTTTAATTAAAAAGCTATTATATTATATAATTTTTATTAACTAAAAAAGACTATATTAATATTATTATAGCTACTATTAGCTTTATAATCTTAGTAGTAATAGCTATATCTATTTGAATAGCTATATTAATAATAGTAATTA